TTATTGTTAAATATACAAATTCAATAGATAATTAAAGACGTAATTCACAAAAGACAAATATAATGCACACATAGACAACTTTGGACCAAAATAATTGCTTACTTAATTATCAGATCACTGAGATTAGTGCAGAGTGGTACAGTGTCACTTGTCAGTGTCATGGACTATTAATATTGTCTTTCTAAGCTTTCCATCTTGAAAGTTGAAATAGATCTACTAATATTAGGAATAAATCAAGAGTTGCAAATAGAATAGCATACTTCTACAAGCTACAACAATCAAATCATGATAAAATCAAATGAACAAGATCAATCCATGATCATTGAAGTCATTAATAAAACTCAAGTTATTATAAAATGGGTAGAATCTTAAAAATAAAACTTAATACTACATATAAGCCATTACCTATATAACAGAACTACTTACACTGTGCATGATTTTAGAATATAAATCCACCCACGAACAGAAGGTAACAAACATGTACACAACAATTACATACATGTACATTGACTAATGCAGTGGGTGGAATTGTGTGTACTAGCTTTAGATGTTTTGCTACAAAACACTACAAAAACAATCTTTAGATTATCAGTCAACAAATAACAGCAGCTATCATAAGAAATGAACTTAGAACTCAGGAGAACTTACTACAAATAAAACTGAATCTTCTTTCAAAGTATATAGTTCTTGGGTTTGCAAGAATTAAGTGGGAACAATGATGCGTGTGTTTCTTTTCATCCTCATAGCACTAGTAGTGACTTGTGAATCAGTACCAGTCAATAATGAAGAGAGAGCCTCTAGAGATGCTGATTACAATGTTGATGAAGATGACATTACAAGCAGACTAACTTATTGTGATGATGCTCGAGTCAAATGAAGCGGAGGTGGTTATTGAGGATTTAAAAGAGGAGGCAAAAGAGGAGGTGGGAGACAGGTTTCTATTAGTGGCATTGAACAACTTGTCCAAGGGCTAATTCGGTTTGGTATTGGAAGAAAGCTCAGTCCTGGAGGCAACAGACAAACCCAGTATGGTGGGGGCTATAGAGGGTAATAGAGGGCATGGTGGTTGTGGTGAAAATTGAGGCCACGGTGGAAATAAAGGTCATGATGGATATGGTGGATATGGTGGTCGTGGAGGTAATTGTGGCCATGGAGGCTATGGAGGCTATGGTGGTCGCGGAGGTAATGGGTGACATGGAGGCAACAGTGGTCATGGAGGACATGGATATCGTGGACGTGGGGGCTACGGTGGCCATGGAGGTCATGGTGGTCATGGAGGATATGGAGGCTATGGTGGCCGTGGTGGTCGTGGGAGTAATGGGGGCCATGGAGGAAATGGTGGTTATGGAGGATATCATTGGTAAGGATGATATAAACAGAACTAAAGTATTTTTTGAGTTGATAATAAGTTTTGTTGGTAAATTACAATTGATATTGCAAACATAATGTGGTAAGTCATTAAAAAAATCCAATTTTCAGCTCACAAAATGCATGTGTATCAGAAAAAAATTAAAAAACTCATTTTATAAACCTATTTGATACTACATTATGTCATTACAAGGTGAGCCAAGCCATTCATGCTCACAAGCAATGATTATTAGTAACATCAAGAGTAGATAATAATTATCCACTCTTGGTAACAAGTACATCAAAAATGCTAAAAAGTATACACACATATTAATATTTGATTTTTGACATTGAAATCAAAGTCATAATAGCAGACACAGTACAAAATGTAAAAAATTATTTATAAGATGTTTACTGTGGCATGAACTAGCCGTACTTCTGATTCACACACACACACCCACAGCATGAATGGAACAATGACTATATTTTATGTCAAACAAACTCTTTAATGTACAAATAACTGAAAGACTATATAAAGCAGTTAGAGTGATGCTTATCTCTAAGAGTACAAGAGAAAGAGCAGTATGAAGCACATAACAGCAGTACTGTTGCTCATTGCATCATCAACATCACTCGTGTCCTCTCTTGGTTACACTTTCTACAGTCTCTGTCCTCACCTAGAGTCCCCTGGTAATGGTCGTGTTTCAACCACTGGCCATACTTTTGGTAGTCTAGCCGTGTACCGATGCTACCGTGGATTTATACTTGAACCAGCTGAGTTCAGTACCAGGAGGTGTCTACAGGGAGGAGTATGGTCAGGACTACCGCCAAGATGCCGTTAGTTCAAAAATAATTTTTAAAAAGAAATAGTTCATCTATCTTGCATGTATTTAGGTTCACCAGTTACTTGTTCAAGTTTATCAGCTCCAGCAAATGGTAATGTTGATATTAGTAGGAGAACTCCAGGTGGTGTGGCAACATACTCGTGTAACGAAGGATTTACACTCCAGCCCTCAGCATCAAGAACAAGGACATGCCAGAGAAACGGAAGGTGGAGTGGAGTTGGCCCAATATGCAGAGGTATGATAATAATAATAATAATGCACTTAAAATTATATACACAATATTTAGCAAATAGAGCTAATTGTGGTGATCCTGGGACACCAGTTAATGGGAGGAGAGTATTAGGAACCACACTAGAGGGTGACACTGTTAGATATTTTTGCAGACAAGGCTTTGAGTTAGTAGGAAATCGAGAAAGAGTGTGTCAAAGCAATGGGCAATGGTCTGGCCAGTTACCTCTCTGTAGTAGACTGAGTAAGACAGTTGTGTCAGTCATAATAATTACATTAACTCCTGTTTATAGTTGACTGTGGTGGTTTACTAAACCCTCTCAACGGGAGAGTATTGCTAACTGGTACTGACGCTGGTTCAAGAGCAACTTATTCATGCAATGAAGGGTTTGTACTACAAGGACCACAAAGACGAGTGTGTCAAGCTAATGGTCAATGGTCTGGTCGGGATCCAACGTGTATTCCAAGAAGTAGGATATGATCATTATTATGAGAGTGTCTGTGATATTCCCAAGGAAGTGCCGTAATAATTAACAGAGCATGTTATTGTTGTGACTTAAATTTAAAATAGTTGTCATGGCTGCATTTTTAATGGTGTTATGTGACACCCTTAAAATCAATGTGTGAGGTATTGCTTAGGAACAAAATGAAAAGGATGTGTTGCTAAGCAATGAAGAACACAATGAACGGAACAATAGTGCACCCTTGCATTAACAGTTGTGGACTGCCGAGGATCGAATAAATTTTGATTGCATATTAATAATCATTTTGTACTGTAGGAAATAGCTGTGGGCAATTGCCTAATCCAAGAAATGGTCGTGTAACACTAACAGGTACAACTGCAGGATCACTAGCAGTATATACTTGTAGGAGAGGCTTTAGACTAGTAGGCAATGTACAAAGATCTTGCCAAAATAATGGACAGTGGTCCGGGAGTGAGCCAATATGCAGAAGAAGTAATTTGGAGGACAGCTTGAAATTGATATTTTCTTTAAAGATATTGTTTTTCCCCCAACAGTTTCCCCGCCACTACCACCTGGAACCTCCTGCCCAAATCCTCTCAGTCCAGCAAATGGTCAAGTACAATTAGTAATAACTAACAATAGGATCACAGCTACATACAGTTGTAATCCTGGCTTCCGTTTAGTAAGAGGATCACGTGTTAGGGTTTGTCAAAATGACAACACATTCAGTGGTAGAGCACCAATATGTGTAGAAAGTAAGTTACTCCAATTAGCCATTGTTAATTCATTCATTATTAGTTGGGGGACCAATTCCACCATTTCCACCAGGTCCACCAGGAATAAATTGTCCAACTCCTGCCAGTCCAGCCAATGGTCAAGTAGTAGTTACTCAAAGGAATAACAGATTAGTAGCTACATACAGCTGCAATGCTGGCTTCCGTTTAGCAAGAAGAGCAAGAGTTAGGTTCTGTCAAAATGATGACACATTCAGTGGCAGAGCACCAATATGTGTAGAAGGTCAGTGTACAGAAATGATGACAAGTATTAGTTAAAGCACTAGCTGTTGAGAGTAGGTTACGGAAATTATTGCATGAGGGGCGGTCGAGAGGAAAATGTAGCACGAGGCGAAGCCGTGCCGAGTGCTACATTTTCATCGAGACCGTCCCGAGTGCAATAATTTCCGTAATCTACTAATCAACAGTGCTTTGATTGGTTTGTAGTGGTGCGTAGGCGGATCAAATGAAATTTTAAAAGTCAAGCAGGTGGCCAGCGCAAGGCAATCAGATCTCATTTATCACTATTATTATTGTTACACCTCTTTTCTAGTCCGTTGTCCCCTTCAAAAGCTAGTTTTGCATACTACGCATTCGCAGATGGATTAAAATGAATGGACAACAACCACGCATGTGCATTCAGATGGACAACAGACTTGAAAAGAGGTGTACATGTATAGTATATGTAGCTGAGGCTGTGGTTTGCCTCTATCAGAGCTTGTGGTTAAAAGGAAAGCCCATACATATTATACTGTGCAGTACTATATATTCCACACAGTGCTACATTTTCCTACCATGCTCGTTATTGGAAGTTATCGCACTGGTGGCACCTTTGATCCGCCCACACACAATACTACAACTATATTTATTGATTACATATTTAGATGGACGCCCAGGCCCACCATTTCGTCCACCTGGATTTCGTCCACCTGGATTTCGTCCACCTGGATTTCGTCCACCAGGATTTCGTCCACCTGGATTTCGTCCACCAGGATTTCGTCCCCCTGGAGGACGTTCCCGATCCAGGTCATTTAGTCGCTCCAATTCAAGGTCATTTTCCATCACAACTGGTTCAAGGTCATCTTCCATCACAACCCGCCCTCCTATCCGTCCACCATTTCCCCCGCCAACAGGAGGTACTTGTCCTCATTTGACCCCACCAAAAGGAGGATTGGTTAGAGTGATTGGGTTTGAAGTTGGAGACACAGCAACATACAGCTGCTCCAGAGGGTTCACTCTAGTTGGTCCTCCTGTAAGGAGGTGCACTAGATCTGGGAACTGGTCCCGTTCACAGCCAAACTGTGTGCCTGATGATCTTGTCCAGCACCTGGAGAAAAACTACTAAACTACTTCAATATGTACACAAATTTTTCCATTAATAATATTAATTATACCATTTGTTTTTCACATGTTAAGTTATTATTTTCGTAAATTGATTTGATTTGAAAATATTTTTTTCAACATTCAAATCTTTAAAATTTTTAGGCCTACATAATTTTCTCCATAGACAATAAAAAGCTAATCGTATAAGGTAGATTTCTCTTTTAAATTTGGCACCTATAGTGAATACATCGGTAGTAGTGCTAAATGTAAAATTTGAATTTTCAGCCTATTGTAAAAGTGTGCCAACTATAACGCAGTATACTTTACATCAGTTACCAAAGGAGATCAAGGCAATCTAAAACCCAACATACACTAAGCAACATTCGTTGCATCAACTTGCATGCAACACAGTTTATGCAGGAGTCAATGGGACTTACATTGCAACGTGTTGCATGAAATAGGAAACAAATTTATTTCATATGCAACACATTGCAAGCTCCATTGACTCCTGTATAAGCTGAGTTGCATGCCACAAATGTTTCATAGTGTATATTGATAAAACTCATGTTATTATAAAATGGGTGGCATCTTTAAAATAAAACTTAATCTTACATGTATACGATATAAGCCATTACCTATGTAACAGAACTACTTAAACTGCGTGTAATTTTAAAATAGACATATGCAACTCCACCCATGAACATAAGGTAAATACACAACATGCATGCACAGTACACTATGCATTCACTAATGCAGTGGGTGTAGTAACTTTGTGTAATAGCTTTAGATGTTTTGAAAAACACCACAAAAACAAGCTTTGGATTATCAGTCATTATATAACAGTAATCATAAGAAATGCTAGTTGCATGGTCTATGCCTCAGGAGTGATAGAAGGGTGTTTGTCAATCATTGTAAAACCAAAGCCATTGTTGATTCTGAATGTAATGACAAAGACCAAATACAAGGGTTATTATTCTTATAACGGACACTATCTAGTAGCAAAAGTATTATTGTTGATTCTAGCTCATTGTATAGGTAATGGCCTGCATTCAGAGTCAGACTAAATACCATAAATAGTTTTTAAAGTATCAAAATGCTATAAAAAGCCTCAAGCCTGCTTTGTCACCTTCACTTGAACGATAAAGAAGCAATCATGAGAGCCTTATCTGTTCTACTCATTATAGCAACTGTCATCTTGGTAGCTGCAGCCACTCGTTCAGGTAGTGGATACAGGTCAGATGGATACAAGTCAGGCGAATACAGGTCAGGTGGGTACAGGTCAGACGGATACAGGTCAGGCGGATACAGGTCAGGCGGATACAGGTCAGGCGGATACAGGTCAGGGGGATACAGGTCAGGTGGATACAGGTCAGGTGGACACAGGTCAGGTGGATACCGTACTGGAGGATATAGGACAGGTGGATATGGCTACGGATATGGTGGATGTAAGTATACCAAAGTTACTACCATAATGATTATCATTTCAATGATAGAC